CTTCAGAAGGAACAAAAACACCTACACCCCCCTGAACATAAGAGGATCTGCGGTGGAAGTGGTCTACAGCTACAAGTACTTGGGTGTACACATGAATGACAACCTCAGCTGGAGCAACAACACCACCAGCCTGATGAAGAAAGATCATCAGAGACTCTACTTCCTCAGACAGCTGAGACGAGCTGGTCTGGAAGCGCAGTCCTCACCTCCTTCTACAGGTGTGCAGTGGAGAGCATCGTGACTGAGGAACAGCTTCTACCCTGAAGCTGTTAGACTCATGAATCTCTAACTAGAATAATCACTGTGAAAAACCATATCATGTTGCTGCTGATCTGTTTCATGTTGCTGCTGATCTGTTTCATGTTGCTGTGTTCATGCGTGCTCATCTGCTCACAGACTCATGTTCATGTTTGTGCTGATGTTCAATGTTTTATGTTATGAGTGCTTAGTGTATATTTAGTTGATGTTTTTCTTAGTTCATATCTTAGATGTTATTACTGTTTTTCTTAGACATTTTATTGTTGGATGTAACTGGGACCCCGTGTACATAATTTCTCTCCACCACATGTACCACATGAGGTGCGAATGACAATAAAGAAACTCTGACTCTGACTGTGATATATATATATATATATTTTTTTTTTTGTGTGTATATACATAGTTTGTATATATATATATATATATATCTCCTTGACCTCACTGCAGCTTTCGACACTGTGGACCATAGTATCCTCCTCCACCGTCTTCATGTGGAGGTCGGTCTCTGTGACACTGTCCTGGACTGGTTTAAATCTTTCCTCTCCAATAGGCTGGAATGTGTTAGTCTTGGCAATGCCAAGTCCCAGACTGTCTGTGTCTCCTATGGTGTCCCTCAAGGGTCAGTTTTAGGGCCCCTGCTATTTTCCCTTTACATGTTGCCTTTAGGTCAAATTATTAATCAGTACAACATTTCTTTTCACTGTTATGCCGACGATACACAGCTTTACATCAGGACCGGAGCATCATCTTCACCACTGTCATCTCCATCTTTACTCGCTGCCCTCTCTACCTGCCTGGAGGAGATAAGGGCATGGATGAATCAGAACTTTCTTCAGTTAAACTGCTCCAAAACAGAGGCCATAGTGATTGGCACCCCTCACCAGGTTCAAACTTCAACTATAACGACTATTTCCTTTTCCGGACAAGACATCCCCCTCTCCACCACCTCTGTTACAAATCTTGGAGTAAGAATGGACTCTCATCTTACATTTGAAAATCACATTAAGCATCTGTTTAAAACCTGTTTCTTCCATCTTCGAAATATCTCCAAACTGCGCCCATCTCTCACTTTTGCTGATGCAGAGAAACTCGTCCATGCTTTTGTCTCCTCCAGGCTCGACTACTGCAACTCCCTGTTTACTGGAATACCCGGCAAAACCCTTCAGAAGCTTCAATATATTCAAAACAGTGCAGCCAGGATTTTATTGAGAGCTCGTAAATTTGAACATATTACACCCATTCTCCATAACCTCCATTGGCTTCCTGTCACCTACAGAATTCAGTACAAAATTGCTCTCATCACCCATCAGTGTTTATATGGAAATTCACCAGATTATCTGAAGGACCTTCTTGCTCCATATTCATCCACCCGGTCCCTACGATCACAGAACAGTCATCTCCTCCACCTGCCACGAACTAAATTAAGAACCATGGGAGATCGAGCATTCTGTGTGGCTGCCCCCCGCCTCTGGAACTCCCTCCCTGAATATCTGAGAGCTCCACAATCATTGACTGACTTTAAAAAAGGCTTAAAGACTTTTCTTTTTAAGCAAGCCTATTCTGCCTCCACATGATTGTATCATTGATTTTAGTTGATTTTATCACAGATTTTAGTTGATTTTATCACAGAT